TCCAAATTCTATTCAAATCTATACTTTTTGTAAAATGAAAAAAAGAAGACAAATTCTTCACACATAAAGCATTTCAGCAAGCTAAACTCTGGAGTGTCTCTTTAACTCTGTCAACTCAAACATACATTTCTCCAATCGGTTCCTCTTCTCTTTCTCTTTCAGATTCTGTTTTTTTTTCTTCATTTCTGATTTATTTATTTTTAAAAACACAAAACAAAGTGTGGAATACCTTGACTTATGTATTTGTCCTGAGACAAATGGGCTCCCCTTGCTTTTTTAATCAACAAAGTCTGAAGCTTCCCTTGAGATTCACCTTTTTGCCACAATTGTCAAGCATAGGAAAAATACATAAGACAAAGTAGTCCCCACTTTGTTTTGTGTTTGTAAAAATAAATAGATCAAAAATGAAGAAATGAAGAACAGATTCTGAAAGAGGAAGAGAAGAGGAAACTATAGGAAAGGGGTATGTTTGATGTGACAGAGCCACTTTAAGTACACTCCTCATCTAAATATTTTTATTTATCCTTCGGAACATTTTGTAATGTATAAAAGAATTGCAGTGTGAACATCATCTAAAAATTGTTGAAACATAAGGTAGTTTGTACATTGTCAAATAATAATTAGATTGCTTATCCATTTGAGGTTGAACTTTTGTACTTTTCTTTCCACTTCTAGTTTTATTGCGTTTTTCCATCATTAGAAATATGCCTAATCTGTTTTTGGGGTTGTAATTTGTACCTTAAAATATTGTAACTAATGAATAGAAAGATGAGCTTTGGTGCATTTGCCATTTATATTATACTATAAACTTGTCAATGCTTCTTCTTGTATGCTAAACTTGTTTCTTGCCATAAAAACATCTCAAAATATGTTGGAATTTTATAAATAATAATCATTCATAGTAAGTAGCAGAGGATACTTGTTTTTTCTAATCCACTCCTCTGGGACTTCATGCAAGTTAGTGTGGCATCAATATTCTAAGTAGAAAACGGTATAAATGTATAAACCTTATTGTGCTACAAAACATAATGCTGAACTAATCATAGAGATACTTATGTCTGTACAAATGTAAACACATTATAGCAGAAGACGATAAGGAGCCGGTTTGCTAGAGCTTAAAATCTACAGGAAGTAAGGGGAGGTGATATGGAGAAAGTGCAAGAGTTTCATGTGTGATATAATCTAACTGCATGCTAATCCTATCAGAAGTGTAACATTTACTGAAGGATTATAAAGCAAACACTTATTATACATAAATTGTCAGTGTAAATTAACTAATTTTTCCATAGGTTTTATGACATTTAGATATAACTAGGGAGAATATGTGCAAAATGAGGGTGAGATTTTGCAAGCAATATATATATTTTAAAAAATGGACCATTGGTTATTTTGCTCAGAATGTTCAAATTGGTTGTCAGCTAAGTACTGATCCCCATCCCCTTACGGCTCTTTGTCATTATAATCTCTCTTTTGTCTTAGTCTGCTTTAAGTATGTTACCTCTCCCAGTACAATACCACCCTTTTACTTTCTCACAAACAAATGTACTCTCTTCCAATAAAACTATATAACAACAAATGCCAAGCATGCTAGTTATTTAATATATTGTACTGTATCTCAGTTAGTTTATATTCCCACAATCTCCCTTCTCCTTTATCTGATTCTGTTCCATCTGTTTGCAGTAAACTTTCCTTTATAATCTGTAAATAAATCGGTATGATCATTGCTATCCTGGTTGATTTCAAACACCATGACCACTTCAGTCAAAAGATCTCCCTGACCTGCGTTGCCTTGGTTTTTTCCCAGCATGGTGTCACCCAATTTTATCAGCACCATGAGTGCTATTTATTGTTCCGGTGGTCCAAATTCATAGGGTTGCCCACAACTCACTGATGTATACCATTGGTGGCATATGTGGCTGGAAAGAAGCACGCAATGTACATGCCTACTCACACTGCCCTCTGAGTGTACAGCTTCCTTGCGTGCCCTGTACTGATGCTGAAGTTGGGATGTGACATAACTCCAGTGCCAGCATCTATACGTAGTTGCAGGGAGCTGGGCCATCAGTAAAGAGAAATCTCTGCAGCAAACTACTGAATACCAAGAATAAGGTTCCCCTCCAGCTACTGTTCATGGTACAGGGGAGGCTGCATGGACCTCACTGTGCGAAAAAAAAGTTAAAAATAAAAAGTATGAGACTGAGTAAGAATGCAAGGGTACTCCTAGAATCACAAGCCCTATCATGCTTGCAGTGACATTTTAAGCCACACTGGTTTTGTTTTTCAAGAAAGATAGATTTCCTGTATGTTTTTTTGTTTTTTTTAAAAGACAGATCACATGGAATTGCTACTGTCCTGTAGCATGTGGTATTCTGAGGGCCTACTAAAAGACACTGAAACTCAACATTCTCATTTAAGAACATTAGAAAACGGAAATCAAAACATTCCTCTGAACAGGAAACAGAGTGAGACCTGTTAACAACTACTGCACAACATAACATGAGTAGTCAATAAACCTCCGTTCTGGTTTCTACAAAAAAAAAGTCAAACCCCATGAGAAACGTTAATTCATGGACGTTCAGGTGACCCAGACGTAGTCTAACTGTTTGAGCATTCCTGAGCATTTTCTGTGACCCTTTATGATTAACACAAGCCAGACATTGCTGACATGTTGCTTGTCCTTGTTTGAGTTAATGACCACATGTCATCTTTTACTTTGTATGAAGTTACTTTAACCTGAAAGCTCCTTCGCATTTGGAAAATAACCCAAATGTCACAGGTTTCACCATTCACATCACATAAAGAGCTCAACTGCACACAATCTACCATCACCCTGTACAACATTAGCCTGACAAGTCCTATGATTGAACCATCCCATGTGTATATGAAAGATGAGCTACTGTTGCATGTAGACAAGGTTTGACCTCATTCATTCTGTGAGTCCCAAGAACACTCTCAGCCATTGAAAGTGAAGACATCGATACATTATCTTGGGCCAAAAGCAGTTACAATGATAAGCATTCAAACACTGGGGAAAACTTACTTTCATAAGTCAGTGATAACTAACCTGTGCATTACATTAATTAGAATGAAAGTACACGATGAATAAACATTTAAACACTGTAGTTTTGATGCCTTTTTGAACATGTGTGTCATTAAACATCCCCACCAACACCCTTCCCCCTCCACTCCATTACATTCCAACCAATGTTAAGAGGTATGTATTGCAATACATTGGTAAGCTGTTAACAGCTGTGAATTAATCACTTTGCTTTATCTTTTTATTAAACTGTTTACATACAGAGCTATTCACTGAAGCCAGTTTTGTTGTTTTTATCATTATGAAGTTGATATCCAATTGACCAAAAAAAAACTATCCTAAAATAAATTCAACAGGTTCACAAATATCAACATATTGAATTTATCTGACAGTTTATTTAATCCAGACTACCAGAGGGGCGAGGAACACACTGCTGCATGATCAGCTACTAAAATGGTTTATATCAACAGGTTTGTAAACAATTAACGCCACATTCATTTAATTTGGCAATTTATAATTCCCTTAAAATAATATTATGCACATCTGCTAAATCAGCCCATTGATTTTTAGTACATTGACACACTCAAAAACAACAGGTGATATTAGACAATAGTTATAAATATAAGATTTCAATGTTTAAAGTGGCACTGTCACTTCAAATCTCCCCTTTTCTCCCCCTCCCCCCCAAATTGTATTCCATAAAGATAGTATCTTTATAAAATACTAATTTTGAATGTGGTAGAATTTCACTGAAATTCCTACCAAGTCAACAGTTATAAAGACAAAGTAGGGACTATTTTGTCCTCTGTATTTCTCCTCCACCTGACTTTCTTAGACTTAGGGTGCAGTCTAAGTGTCAATTCCAGATGCCATCACCAGTGACAACTGCAGTGAAATGGCTGTGATTAAGGAGGATCCTGCAAGACCTCACATATGCAAGAGTACAGCAGTGGTGTCGGCTCCTAGCGCTGAAGTGGCAGGATCTGAAGAGAATCCACTGGAACAAGATGCCTGCGAGTGACAGGTTCAGGTAAGTAAATCTCACCTTTACCTGCAGCTCTCTCCAGCCACCGAACCCCCAGTGTTTGCAAATTCAGACATTGACAGTACCGCTTTAATGGGTCATTAAATACCTCTAGGAAATATATTATTGTTGATGCTTAATGAAAATAATAAAACCATAAAATGCATGTGCCACGGACACAGCTAGTTTGGGTTCATCTATTCATCTCAAGTTCACAAGGATGAGTTTTATTTGTTGCCATGTTGTGGGTGGTCCACCAAGTCTTCCAGCCACATGATTCCCAATCTTGGAAGGCCCTTCATAAAAACATGGAATGGAAATAGACCCTGCAAAGCAGCGTGAATGCTGGGAAAGGGGTGAAGAACCCCGAACAGCTCATTTTGTGCTGCACATTTTGTTCTAAAGGTGATAGTGTAACAGTTATTTGGAGTCTGCCTACTTAGAATAAGAAATTAATCTGAGTTACAGTACATCACAGTTTAATGTTTAGTCCATTTTCTATACCTTGATAGGGCAGAGCAAACTGTTAATCACCTGTTTTACATTTCTTTAAGTACAATCTACTACAAATGATTAAAAGAATGTTTAGCACACAGGTAGCAGGCAAACACTGACACTTGTGGGCCATAGTGGTTATGTAGGCTGAATGGCATAACAAGAAAACATTGTGTTTGCAATGTGAAAACAGCTTAAGCTTGATGTTTGTTTGTTTTTTATTTAAAAAACAATAATAAATGCAGAAAAAAATGCACAGATTTTATAATACAAAAGAGTGTTTACATGACAGGTCTATTTTTGTAATGTTTTTGTAAATGTTGTCTTGAATTTGTACACTGTGCTGTAAAATCACCAAAAATTAAAAACTTTAAAGATATACTTTTGTGAAGATTGCTTAATAGTGATGTCGCGAACGGTTCGCCATGGTTCATGGCGAACTCCGGTCAGCTGACACATCCCTGCCAATCTCCAGCAGACCCTCCCTCCCAGACCCTCCTACTTCCTGGACAGCATCCATGTTGAAGGCAGCTTCAACATGGATGCTGTCCAGGAGGTGGGAGGGCCTGGGAGGGAGGGTCTGCCGGAGATTGGCAGGGATGTGTCAGCTGACCGGAGTTCGAAGCCGCGGCGAACCGTTCGCGGACGGTTCGCGACATCGCTATTGCTTAACCCACCTCCACTAAGCCCTCCTGAAATTCTAAGCACTGTATCTTACAATTTAGACACCAGTGAATGCCTCGTTTAAACTGTATCATCCTTTTCAACTTTTAAGAAGAACTGATCCATGGAAGTTATACAAAATAAGATTACAAAATCAATGTTCAATATGTATGTTTGCAACGTCTGAAAAGTTTGTTACTAGCAAGCCTCGATCATTTGTGGCCCAATAGGCTTCCTTAAAGACAGCTATTACAATCTGTTATTTATTAGCAAAATTCATTAGCAAGATCTACAAAATCATATTCCAAGATGTAATAAAGAATTTGAACAAGTCTGACTTTTTTATTGAACTTTGCAGCTGCAGTAATAAGGAAATGTGTTTTTGTCTGGATAGTAAAAGGCTTCCCTTGTTACCCAGTCACAGATTCTTTTTTTTTTTGTAAATCTAAATCAGCCAGGATCGTGCTGTTTTAAATAGTATGCTTAACAATGTCTTAGAAAAGACACAATGAACTCTGTTTTGTTTTATATTATCCCTGAAAGACAATCACATTCAGATGTTGTTTGGCACCAATTAGTAAAAGTAGACAGCTCAACCATACATCTTTTTTCATACAGTCAGTAACATGCAATCATAAATTATAATCCTACTTTAAAAAAAAACAAAAACCAGCAACAAAATGGTAACAAAAACATACATAGCTCTTTGGGGGTATTTAATGATGAGAGCGTAATCATGGGTCAATAAAGTCACATAATCACATTTTACATTAACCTATCAAAACACCCTAAAAACTCTTTTGGAACCATATGTTTGATAACGTATTGAGCACGGTATAACTGACATATTTTATTTGCACAATATAATGCCTTAAATTGTTTCAGAAGCAGCCCAGTCACGAAAGCAAAAAACTGTGTGCAATATATTAAATGAGCTGACAAGTGTGCCACTGCTACATGAAACCTCCACAACGTGTGTTTGTTTTTTGGAGAAGTTTGCTTCTGTCCAAACATTTAATAGGATGGACAGCCAATTATAATTGAGTTTCAAGTCACCAAGTATGTACCATTGACATGCAAAGCATATTATATTGTGGTGTGTACTTAAATACCATCTACATATAATTTATTTTTAATTAAAAAAATAAATGGATACCAATATGTATACAGAAATAATCATAACCTTTTCTTCAAAACCAAAAAAAGAGTAACAAGGAAGAATTACATCTTGTACCTATGTACTGCATGGGCAAAAATGTTAAACAAATATGAGTAAACTAAAATTTAAATGTTATACTATGGGCATCAAAACAACTTTAGCTTAATAAAGCAGTTTGGGTGTATAGATCATTCCCTTGCAGTCTCACTGCTCAATTTTTGGCCATTTAGGAATTTATTTCTGTTTATGCAGCCCTGGCCACACCTCTTCTAAATGGTTTCATTTCCGATCAGATGTTAACTTGCTTTATAAGTTTTTATCTCCTGCTCTTTAAATTGAACTTTAATAACACACAAGGCTCCTGCAGGGTCTAGAAGACTATTAACCGAGCAAGAGATATAAAATTCTAAATTAAACAGACTGTGCAATATAGAACATTTAAACATTAGATATATCATTACAGGAACTGTTTAGGAAGGCTGTGCAGCAGGGAGATGTGACTAGAAGTTAAAACGATTAAACTTATAAATGTCAGACAATTGAGCAGTGAGACTGCAGGGACATGATGTATATACCAAACCTGATTCGTGAAGCTAAAGTTGTTTTGGTTCCTAGTGTTCTAATAATATTGATAGTATTTCTATTTTCATTTATCTTAGCAAACAACAGTGTTTAATTAAAACAAATTGTGTTCAATTGCTTAAAGAAACCGTATATTCTATCCTTATCTATACCAGTGCCCTCCTGTTTTTATAGTATTTTGGTGTTTACAAAAAATATATATATTTTTTAAATGTATAAATGCCACAGTCAGGCTGGGGTAGTTTAAATTTTCTGACAAGGTAATCTGGTATGTAAACCAATGTGGGAAATCCTAATTTAAAGTGCAATAAAAGGCAATATAATATAGACAGACAAAATAAGGTTGAAAAAAAAGCTTGTAATGTTTTCTCTGTATCTTGGGACCAAAAAAAATAATTCAACATTTATATGTATGCTTTATGAATATTTGGATTTAACATATTACGTAGGACAATATAGCACACATTCACACCCATATTTAAAGAGTGCACATTCCTAATTGTAGATACAATAATAACATAAAAATTGAAATGTTACTGAAAGTAGTAACACTAATGGATTCTCCTAGGACTAACTCTAGATCACACATTCATGGGAGGGCTGAGCCAGTTATCTGTTCCATTAATTAACTAAACACTGAGTTGTGGAGGATTGACAAAATACTTGCACATTTTAGGCCAAGACAGCTAAGTTGGCAAAAGTCTGCAAAGTTGAAGGGTTTTTAAAATTTGGCTACTGAGGCCTAAATTTTGTAAGTTCAGTTTGTACTCTTGCCACAACTAACTGCTGAGCTATTAAACTTCTTTCAAAACACAAGGCTTTAGGTTGTCGACATTCCCAAGGACACAATTCAATTCATGATGTTATTTACACATAGAATGAGATTTTTTAGGATTTTAGCTGTGAGAGGTAAAAATTTGCATCGATTAAAAAAAACTGCTTGGATTACTTACTGACAGAAGTAGAACAAAATTCAGTATTAGTATATGAATTAATGGGTACAAGAAAAGATAAAATATCAATAACGTAATGCTGCGGGCTGTCACTTGATACTGTTTTTTTAAATGTCTATTTGTGCTGGGCTGCAGCCGCTGTAAGACTCCCCGCACTTGAGACTTAGACTACTGCAGTTCCACACAGACGTTATCAGATCACCTGCATGAGCTAACAGCATATGGTTGCAATTACTTCTTTGTATGAATTGGTGGTTAAGCTACCTCTGTGGTTATGAATGGCACTTAATGCTTAAAATACACAGTATGAGAAATACAACATTAGGAGCAGTTTCAACTCCCTCTTCTTATTTTTATTAATTCTAAATGGACAGATTTCTGCGCCGTCTCCCTGTGCTGTTAATTTACGAGTTCTCCTGAAAGCAATCTGGTTAATAAAGAACGTACTGATACAGCAAATATAGTGGAATTAATGCCTCAACAGCTGTGGAACACTTACCATCATCCAAGTACAATTGATCCAGCTCTTCAGGTTCACGCTTGATCGTTACAGGAATAGGGGCCAAATTATGATTACTGTCCTCATGCAACTCTGGCAGTGACAGTGGTTGACTGGTTGGAGATTCATTTCTCTGAACCTTCTGCTGTTGCTGCTGCTGTTGCCCCATTACTGCCGAGTGGTTTGGACTGCACGGCTGCAAATAGGATGGCTCTTTGGTAATAGATGGAACTGGAGAGGAGGGACTGTTGGGATAGACTGTTTGTTGATAACCAAGGGGACAGCTACTGCTCTGATGTAGACTCACCTGCGGCTGCAGCATGATGTGTGATGACTGGTCAGGTGAACTTGGGTGTACTACTCTAGACCGTGGCACTTCCTGTATGGTGGGGACACCTCCGGTAGACTGCTGAATTCCTAGCTGAGTGTGACCAGAATTCGAGATGCATTTGTTGTAGGCAGAACTGGGAAGGTCATGGAGCTTGGGGCTTGAATTTGGAGACGATGACATCACAGTGTTTCTTTGCTGACAGGATGTGAAACCAGGCACAAGGCACAAACCAGGATCAGGGGGCATCATGATCTGTTGGCTGTAGTATGGCTTTGAGAGTTGAGTTAATCCTTGGTTCATAGGGCCACAGGTTTGGGCTGACTCATACTCATCAGCGGGCTCTGTTTTTATAATTGGAACTGTTAGAAGAGAAGAAAAAAATTAAATAAACATGAGTTGCATTTTGGTAAGATCAAGTTGGCTTGTGGCTAGGATACCCCTGGCAAAACAAACAACGTCTTGAATAAGACTCTGTGTGTCTTTTGCCTAGCACTCCCACCCAATAAAAAAAATGTATGAGTCATCAGGCATAAGAAAGTTACAGCTGCTTCTAATATTCAGAGGAACTATTTTCTTTGGACTCTCCTCCAGCACTAATGTGCTATAAAAATCTATTTGCAAATAACCATGTTGCTGAAGAAGCTTTGGACCCAAGGGCTCCATGGATTTGTAATAATCAAAGCAAAAATTTTAACTTGGATATACTATTGCTTTTTCTTCTGCTACTGATGGTCCATTTGATAAATGTCTGCACATTTGGTATAATCGTAGTCAGACTAAACATATTGAGCTCAATCAGGGCTGAAATACACACACATGTAAATACAGTTGTGGTTTATGATGTCACCACCAACAAGGATATTTATAAATACAGCATCCCTTGCTAGTGAATGGGTTTAGCTAAACACATTTCAAGCTACTGATATATATATATATATAAAGTGTTCCTCACGAGATACAATTCATAAATACAAAAGTTCATGTCTGGTGTCTGAGATGAAATTAAACATGCAACGTTCTATATTGGCGTTCCCCTAAACTGGCCCCATCCATGCTACGGAGAGGCTGAAAGACAAACCGTTACCTCTCATCAGTTAATCTGTTCTATTTTTGAAGGAACTCGATGATATAGGAACATTTATCAAGTTGAGTGTCAGCAACACGGAAAGGGGTCTGTTTTATAAGTCTATGAATTGCAAAACAAGAAGAATGTATTCCCTTCAGACCATAATTTGAATAAATACAAGAATATGTTCTGAAAAGACCCCCAACCTGCAACTAAAAGATTTTGTGAAAAGAACAAGTCTTCACTGTATTTTAAATATATACGGTATGTACTTATTTAGCATAACAACATTAACACTACTGATGTATGTGGATTGTATATATATATATGGTAAGGCTGGCTGTGCCTTCTGGAAAACATA